TGTTCCTGTTCGCCAACTTGCTGCCAAAAGGGTTCTAGTGTCTTTAGAAAACCCTTTCTTTTTGAAACCTCTGTCGATAGAAGCCATGCAGTTAGTTGAAATACTTCTGGATTTGGATGATAAATTTTTGTGTTTGGTTGTTGAAGTAAATTTGGAATGTTTGGAAGTCTTTTTGGTATTGAGATTAAAAGCTGAAGTAGATCTGTGTACCAAGGTCTCCGTGGCCAACAGGGAGCTATCAGAATTACTTGACAATTGAACTGTCTGATGTACTGAAGAACTTTGGGAATTAGACAAATCGGAGGGTAAGCATACAGAAACATCCCCTCTCAAGATATCGTCAGGGCATCCAATGCATATGCTTGGCTGTGAGGAAACCAAGTGCAAAAGATCTGTGTTTGACGATTGTGAATAGATGCAAACATGTCTATCAGAGGTTGACCCCATAATAGAAAAATTCTCTGAACAATTTGTCTGTTCAACATCCATTCTGTTTGTCTGATCTTGACCCTGCTCAAATGGTCTGCCAGAATATTTGATTTTCCTGCTATGTGAGCAGCTTTCAACTTGATATTGTGACCTATTGCCCAGTTCCACAAATCCCATGTCTGATAACAAAGACGTGGAGATTTGGTTCCTCCCTGTTTGTTGATGTATTGAACCACTGTCGTATTGTCGCATCTGATCAAAACTGTTCTGTTTTGTACTTGTTTTTGAAAATGTTTCAGAGTTAAAAACACTGCTTCCATCTCTAGACAATTGATATGAAGACCTTTGTGACAACTGTCCCAATGTCCTTGAACTATTTGATTGTTTAGGTGACCCCCCCACCCTGTCAAGGATGCATCTGTGGTTATGGTCACCCCAATTTCTTCCAGTTGCAAAGATCTGCCCCTGGAAATGTTCACTGAATATAACCACCATTGTAGGTGTTGTATTAGATGTGGTGTAATAGGGACTATTTTCTCCAAATCTAGAGAGCTTGGTTTCCAAAAACTTAGTAGATGTAACTGAGCAGGTCTCATGTAAAGACGAGCATTTGGAATAAGATCTATGCATGAGGCTACTATTCCCAACCATTGTAGAAAATCTTTGGCTGTTTTCTGACCCTGCATTAACATTTTGGTTGATTGTACCAATTTTATCAATCTGTCTTGAGATGGAAGTACTATTTTTTGTCTGAATAAAAACAAAGCTCCCAGGTATACAATTTCCTGAGTGGGTTCTAGACAAGACTTCTCTTTGTTTATTATGAAACCTAGTGAAACCAATAGATTTAGGCACTTCTGTCGATCTTGATATAACATTTCTCTTGATTGGTTTACTATTAACCAATCGTCTAGGTAAACTACTAGACGAATATTGTGTGTTCTCAAATATGCTGCTACTACAGACACCATTTTGGTGAAAACTCGAGGTGCTGATGTTGGGCCGAAACACATTGTTTTCCATTGATAACACTGGTTTTCTACACAAAATCTTAGAAATTTTCGATGTTTTGAAAATATTGGAATGTGTAGATATGCATCTGTTAAATCGATTGAAATTGCCCAATCGTTTGGTTTCACTAGATTTAACACTTTGTTTAAAGTGTCCATTTTGAAATGTTGCTTCTTGAGATACTGGTTGAGGGGTCTCAAATTTATGATGGGTCTCATTTTGCCACCCTTTTTGGGGACAAGGAAAAATGTACTGTAAAAACCTGTTTGACTCTCCTGATTTGAGACAGGTTCTATTGCATTTTTTTCTAATAAATCTTCTACCTCTTTTAACAAACAATGTTTTTGTATTTGAGGGATTGTTGTTTTCTTTACCCCTAAAAACTGGGGTTTTTGAAGAAATTCTAGTTTGTAACCCTCGTTGATTATTGATAATACCCAACTGTCTTGAGTTACAAGATTCCAATTTTCTACAAAAAGTTTGAGACGACCCCCAACTGGTATCTCGGGAAGCATTGCAATTTTGGTTACCTGTTCTAATCTCCAGTCATTTATTAGATTTCTTTGGGATCCGAAAGGAGCCAATTCTGTCTACTGTAGCAGATGTAGACGTATTTCTCGAATTGTCCTCTCTTGGTTTGTAGTCATAAGACCGTCTTGAGTAATTGGGTCTCTGAGTAGCTGTTCTGTAACTGTTATTCAACACAGTAGTAGTTCTGGGTTTTTTAAAATTTCCAGAGTTTTCAGCAGAATTTTCTGAAAATTTGCGTTTCTGATTTTTTTCATTCCATTCTGGAATTAAATCCTTAAGAGAATCTTTCTGCTCTTTCCTTTCTTTTAGTTTCTCTTCTAATTTCTTGCCAAAGACGTCATCTTCTGAAAGAGGCAGGCAAATAATTTTGCTATGAATATCCTTCAAGGTATATAATCCAGAGTCTTGTGCTGCAGTTTTCCTTCTTATAAGATGGTGAAAAGCCCCTGCTCTCCCCATTTGATCTAGTGCCTTGGTAGACATGGAGAAAATGTCTTTAATTGCTTGAACTGTGTCCGCATCTTGACAAGTTATAGAATCTAACAACGTTCCTAAAGCTTGCTGCATGTAGCTTAATGAAATAATACCCATACGGGCAGCTATCTGTCCCTGATATGCCAAAGTTTCAATACTTTTGTACGGCTGGGAAATTAAATGTTTACTTTTCCCCCAACCTTTGGTTTTATTTCCGTGTTTTTTTCTTAACATTGGTTCTAAAATGTCATCTAGCCCTGGAACTTGTAGAAATGCTGCCGAGTTTGGATGAACAGGGAAACATTGTCTATATTCATCTCTATAAGCAGACAAGCGTTCAGGATCAGTAATTCTCCATGACTTTTTCAAGATCTCCTCTTGTGTTTTGTCTAAAACTAATCCAGTTTTTTCTTCCTCTGAAGACGAAACATTGCCAAAAATATCAGTTAGAGTTTTTGTATGCTCGTCACTTTTATTGATCAAGTTCTGAAATCTATTGTTGTTGTTGCTGTCCAACTTATGTTGATTGTTATCAAAATCATGGGCAGTAATAGATTCCTCTTGAACTGAGGATTCGTTATCACCCAATAGCTCACGTACTTCTCTGACACTTGGAGCTAATGATATCATATCGTCCATTTCAGGCACACTTAATGTCCCTTCAATTTGGACTTCACTTTCCAAAGGTATAATCGGACGCATTCCAGATGAATCGTCTACATTTGATACCATGGGCTCAGGTCTCCGCGTGGATAAACCACCGGTATCCTGATCCGCTAACGAATTATGAGACACGTTTGTCTCGTGTACATTATGAGAAGCTGTATTCTCTAAAACACTGCTGGACAAAGTTTGAATACTTTCTCTTAAAAAATTCATCATAGTGTCTAACCTTTCGTTGACTCTGTTTTCTAATTGTTCCATTTTCTCGTTAGCTTTGCTGGAGGATTTCCTACCGGACCGCGGTTTTTTTCCTTTGGCCTCCATTACTGACTGTAAATTCTGGAATTCCGAGCCCGAATTTAATTCGTCGTTCGAAATAAAACTGGCTTCTTCCATACTTAAACTAAGAGCATAAGAGAGTATCTATACCAATACCTTATACAAATACAAAGTATTTGTATCACTCCGTGGCTGAAAAATCTCTGCCAAAAAAAATATGAACGTTCTGTTGCACGCCGGAAGATGAACTGATTTGGGCAAGCACCTGAGATGTGATCTCGGTCTTATAAGTGTTTGAATCTTATTCTTTTAAACGCTTGCCCGCGAGTTATGAACGTTAATAAGGGGAAGATATCCTAATGTATATTTATGACTGGTAAGTATAACGAACGAAATAAAATTCAACAATCATACAAGTTGAAGCAGTATAAAAATAAAAATTAAAATGTGAATAAATGCCCACAGATGCTGGATTTGATAATAGAATTATTCTGTACACTTTCATGTACATGTAAGACTCCATGTACCCTACATAGTTTTGTAAAAACAGGTGCTCTTCTATATATTACACTGCAGTACAGAAAATCAATAACAAATTTCATTCATGATACATATAAAAGTTTATACATATTGTGTTGCTCAAGCACAGGAATCAAGAACACAGTCTTTGTAATTGAGAAAAGTATTGCATTAAAAATTAACAATTATCCTAGAGTATACAAAATTCAATTGTGGCAAGATCATGAACATGATAAATCTCAACTTTCTTCTCCCAGTGTATCACATGTTATCTGTAACAGAGTCTTTTTCCATCATCCCTCTGTCCCCAGTGTGAATTTGATAGCCTCTGCCCCTATACTTAGGTCAGCTTTGTCCAAGTCTTTACTTGTGTAAAGCTCCACCCACACTGGGCAGTGGTCACTGACCACGCCTCCCCAGCTCCAGCCATTGGGAATCAGAGCGTTGGTCAAGCCCTCTCTCACCACGCCCGAGTTACCTAAATAAAGAACAAGATTTTCAGTATGAGGAGAAAAGACTGAATCATGAGATACTGATAATTCCTAATACACATGCTCTCACAATGTGACACCATATTTTGTTTTAATTACTAGTATGCTATAAAAATAAAACAACCAAATCTGGTTAAAACTGGCCTAGGGGTTTTACAGAGTGAAAAAAATATATAACTACAATCCCAACAGTGACCACAAAACAAAGGACAAATTCTGATCAGAAAAGTTCACTTGATCCTTCACTCTGGTGTCGAATCTAAAAATCTTATAATTCTTAATCTGGGACAGGAGCATATAATTATAATTTTATTTTTAAAAACAACAGTACCACATGCACAAGACTGACATAAACATACACAGCTTAATAATAAACAAACATTACCAGTGGCCACACTCTTTGTTTCCTTTGTGATCCAGATGTGATCATAGGTACGGCTGCCCTTCATATTCTTATTGCTGATGTTTGTGTAAGCTCCCGCTGGTATTGCATTAGTATAGCCCTTCTCTCGCAAACAATCAAAATCTGTCAAATACATAACATAAATTGATAAACTAGATTTCAAATCTCAACAGATTATTAATGCATAAAATTTATTCCATGTAAAAAAATCTTTGAATTCCCCGGTACATTTAATTCTTAATCACAAGAGAATCTTTTTTTTTTACATGTACACATTAACATGTACCAGTACCCTAGTATGGCAATATTATATTGAAAATGATCAACTTTAAATTTAGATTGTTTGACTTCGATATCAATAAGGGTTATCTGTGCTACTCCTTTGAGGGTACAAGTGCACTAAGTTTACCAGGTATTGTTTATCAAGGTGCGGATCTCAAATCATTCAGTGCAAGGAAGTCCTATATTTATTATGAAGTTATCTGATCCTTTACATTGATTTTCTGACTTAAAAATCAATAGAGGTCATCCTAAGCAAGGCAAGTGTACTCATGCCCCTTTTAATTTAATCTAGTAAGATGCAAACAAAATATAGTACACAGAGTACATCATCAGGGTTTACAAAGTTCATTTGAATATCATGACCTTGAAATTCAATATTCTCCTTTTCAATTTTCATGTAATTTAAGTACTTGAACTACATGATACATCTATCTGGGGTATTTGTATGCTCTAAGTAGAACAAAATGACAAAGCAGTTCAAAATCATCTCACCTTCCTTTTCTGGCTCCAAATTGAAATCACCCAAGATCATAATGTCCTTCTCACCTGAAAATATGCAAAAAATTCTAAAGTAAGAGTACATGTCTCACTAATTTGGATGCATCCCTACCAAAATAGCCTGATAAATGAAGATTCTGGATTCCTCAGGCATGTTTAGTATGTATATATTTTATATATGAATTATTCCCAATACATTTTGTCTGAAAGGGGGAGCTTCCTGATAAATGGGGCTCCACAGGATACATTTAGATCATGCTTTTTAATGAGCACAGGCTTCTCTTTTTCATAAACCCAATGAAAGTCAAATACACTCACTGGGTCCCAGGCCTTACATTTCATATTTTATAGGGTACTAAGCCAATCATCTACTTTCCTGAGCTTTTCAACTAATAAAAGATTTACATCCAAATTTTGGGTTTTAATTTTACTGTATATCCCTCTCTGAAGATTGTATCAATAGAGAACATATTCAGATCACCTTGACCTATTTAAATAAATCATTTTATTAGTTGCCGACTCTTCTCCTTCTGTTCTTATTCAGTTTACACAACAAACATCCTGCTTCATCCAGAATGTTTGTCCTTCTCATATATATCCTGACTATTCTACCTTCCTATGCTCAGTTTGGCACTAGTTACTATTTTGCAGTGTTTTTTTTGTTAGTATATGTGTCAAGGAAATCCACCATGAAGATCGTTATTTTCAGTTTTTTTTTCAATTTTGCTATGAATTTTGAGTCAGATTTGATAAATTGCTGTGTTTTGCATCTTAACAAATATTTTTATGAATGACATTTGTGCAGATGTCTGTGCTATACATCCCTTTTCAATGGCGCATTTTCTTTAAATCCTTCAAATCTAGTCTTTGGAATAAATTATATACACGTATAAATAAGTACAGGGTATGCATGGCCATAGGTTACCAATGTAATTTCAATGTACCAACATGTGTGTCCACTTTCAATTTTACATGACCATATTATTTAGCAAAAATATTCATATATATTTATAAATCTTGTATGAAAAGAGTTAACATGAGACTTGAGAAAATATTATAAATATGAATGCAAGTCATACTTTAATTTGAAAAGAATCTCTATATTTGTAACCTATTTTAGATTGAACCATCCAGAACAAAAGTTTGTATACAGGTATTTTATTTACCCTTGTGCATGCATAGTAAATATGACACCTGTCTTTTTGCATGTGTACAAGTTAGGTATTGCTTACAGAATAAAACATTAAATGTCTACAGGTACATATACTGCCCTGTCAGAAATTTCAGTTATAGAAAAAGCAAAATGATCCATGTATTGTAAAAACAAGAATATCTTCTTTTTAACTGCTTTATCAAAAAAACAGAAAAGGGTCGGATTTAACATTAATAATGTAATATTAGGAGAGATTCCTTTGTCAAAAAATAATAGAATTGTAAACTTTATCATACTATACACTAAACAATATATCTTTACTTGTTTGATGCAGAAGAAAATGCCAAATTTTAGTGCATTCTTATGTCATCTAAGAATCAAATATAATGTTGAAAAATTTGTTTCAATCCAAAAGAATAAAATTGTGTATTTTAATTCCATATGGTCTACATGGAAACCTGTTTTTGATGCGTGACAGTTCAGATTTCATTTACTATTGTTATTGTCTTTTTCCCCCCCTTTTTTATCTCTATTTTATCCTCATATTGTGGATAAAAGAATATATAATTAACAATTCGGATAATTTATGCACAATGTTATAAAGTGTTGGAGGAAAAAGTGACAAATTGAATTTACATGTATTATCTTTTTTTCCTCCCTTTTAATATTATCTATAGATGGATAGTGGATAGTGTGAAAGGGTGAGTGTGCATGTGTATGGCATAAATGTAAATATGTTCAGCTGTAAAAAAAAAAACAGAAAATACCTGCATTTCCATAAAACATAATTGGGCTAGCAAAGGTAAGTTAGGAAATTCTAGAATTATTTTTTATTAACTGCAAAGGAAGAAGTAGACAAATGGACTACTAGATTGTGCATGATGATGTAAATTAAAACCTAACACTCTAATGTACATAAATGTTTGATGTTTCCATGAAATAAGAAATGACCGGTCCATACCTGGGTAGTGTTCTTCTATGGCCTTAACCACTTTAGGTACATTGTCTATCTCTGCCTGGAGTCTCTCTAAGTCCTCATTGTCCAGACCTGTAGCCTTCAGGTGGACACTGGCCATTACACAGTCAAACTTCTTCATCTATCAAATAATAACTCTGATCATTGATACAGTCTATTGTGTATATTGGTGTCCTGACAGAAGATATGTTGCAAAAGTTTAAAAAACACTTTCAAGTGAGGCTTTTGATGTACAAAGATAATCGGAAAGGGGGATGAACTTTGTTGTACGCCTGCCTTGCAGGTTTCACAAAAATACTGTATTATCTATGAAATAGTTTTCATTCTAGGCAGTTCTTTTGAAGAAAAGATGTTTCTGCATAATGTTAAGCATCTAGCTTGCTTCAGTACCAAATATATTAACATGCATACCTTTAAAATTCCAATGAAGGGTCTGCGAACAAAGTCTCTGGTGGAATTAGCTGGCTTTTCTAAATTGGCAGAACTTGATAGAGAAATTCCTTGTGATGTGTCATAAAGAAACCCATTGTATTCCAAACTCTATAACAAAGAATCACAGATAATTACACTGAAGATTTTAACAACAAATTCCTACACTTAAATTACACTGAAGATATTTTAAGTATATACTAGTATATAAACATTACGTACCAATAAATAAATATCTACAATAACATTGATTGTTCACAAGGGACTTTAACTGTCCTAGCTGTATTTGTAAGCATTATGCATCCCCTTTACAAGGGCTAAAAAATAATATTGTATTCTCTATATAATATAAACCCTGCAAAATTGCCAAAAAAAAAAAATGCAGAGAGAATTGGTACTATTCTTTTGAACCACTGTACAGTCTTTACTTTCAAATGGTTCTCATGACCGTACCTCAGGTTGAAACAGATCAACAGAATAAATTTACTGCTGCATTCTCACTAAGTGTTGATGATCTAGCTGTTTTATATCTTTTGAGTTCACATGAAACATTGTTAAATTTGAGTGATATTAAAGTATTTCCTCACAGGCATGACTCTTAAAAGACCCTGAATTTGACAGCTAGATCACATTACAGACAATATAGACTCTATAGCTGAATCCAAACTGCTTTATATAGCAATCAAGCTTGATAATTAATCCCCCGGGGAAAGATTACATTTCTGTTCTTGTTTGAACATATTATATTGATTTCTTGAAGATACAAGTTTTTTTCAGAAAAGAAATGAAGAAAATTATAAATGAAGCATACATGTACATTATACTTTTATCATATAAAACTTTTATACGGATACTTTTATTTGGTAGCATAATAATTAATTTCAAAGCAGTCATTCATTTAAAATTCCACACTGATGACAAAAAAAAGAAAAGAAACTGTTTTGTTAACTCCATGTATCACCATGTCATTAAAAAATCCTTTCAAAATAGGCAAAAAAGATCAGTCAATCAAAGAATTAACCTGACCCTTAGACTTGAGATGGATGAAATGAATTTATATTCACATGTCATGGTGTCTTTTGACCTCAGAAAATGTGGAACAGATTTTTCTCATAAGCCCTCTTGTAACACATGAAAAATATGAATGTATGTATTCAAGAGTTATTATCTGAAAATCAATGGACATCCATTCACCCTTATGGCAGTAAAACATACCTGCTCAGTCTGCATTAATTTGTGAACAAAACATAAACTGATTTAAAATGTCACTGGTGTTTAATTGATCCATTTTCCCTATTCATCAAATTGACTTTCCTTTATTACTATTACCACCATGTACTTTTTTATATTTCTTGCCAAGTGAATTCAAAAGCCATACAAGAAATTTTATGGTAGAGATCTTTAAATTCTGTAACTTAATTATCACACCTGGAAATTATAAAGGCACTCAAGAGAGTAAATCTATAAATGTGTATCCCAGAACTATCTCAAAATCAAATATTCCCCTGCCCTCTCATAGAAACGTTTATCCCTAAGAAGTCACTTCAATATACATGAACTCTAAAACAATTTTCTTGATGAATATTTAAACAAACTATAGGGCAAATGCTACATTGCACCCTCCCATTTTATTGGTGGAAATAAACATATGTGGATGCACTCCTTGAATTTCCTTATTTTTTTGGTTTATAAAGACTCGTTCAAGTAACTCATTTCCTTTATGTAATAAAGATTAGTTTCCTTATACACAAAAGCAAACCGTAACCACATTAAATAGATAAATCACAACAATAAGGACCCCGCCCATTTCACGTGATACATACCCTGTACATTCTTCCTGTTGCCTTGGAAACTACACACTTCCAAGAACCCCTTACTCCCGGCCATTTCACGACATGGGAAATCGTTGGATTGTTTAATTCATCACAAATCTAACAGCATTAAAAAAACAATTTAAAGTATGTGCAAATGCCATATTAATTAATCATCTAGTACTAATATGAAACTTACTCTCTAATAATCTCTCTTGTTCATGTTTCGGCCAGAATAAAAGCTAACACAATACTGTGATTTAAGCCATATTCAAGGTAAAAAGTGAAAATCTAACGGATAATCAAGAAATCTAACCTTTAACATACTTCAAACAAAATCATTTATTAAACATACCTTTTGAAGACTATTTTTATCTGCTAGTTCTTGGAATGCAACAACCCCAAAGCTAGAGAAAAGAAAAATACATTCATTAATTAAGATGTGCATAATGTTCACAAATGTCTTACACTTGTTCTACATTTTATAAAACACTATGATACCATATTAATTTCTTACATCATCTTACAATGCTAATGCATATAGTAAGGGATATATGTATATGTACTAGCTACATGTAAATTACAAGTTTAGGACGGACTGTAATAACTATATTATAATATAGTTTGATCCCTGTACTAGTGAAACATGGAGATAATGAACAGTATTCAAGATCAAAAGTCCATAAAACAGTACAAAAAAGGAGCAGAGCAAACATGGACCTCCAAAACATCAGAGGTGGGATCAGGTGCCATGGAGGAGTAAGCATCCCCTGCTGACCGGTCACACCCGCCGTGTGCTCCTTGTCATGATCGGGAAATAATGGGAAAATCTGTCGTCGATTCACTGTATGAATAATGGACTAACAATTAGTATGAAAAATGTCAGTCAGCATTTGACTCAATGATATTGTATTTGCTGACAAGGTCATTGTATCGATCAATGAACTTAGGAAATGATGACTTTAAACGAGACTGCTGAAATTTTACAAGTTCCTTGTACTAGATTTTTATATTACAAGCTCCCCTTAATAGCTGTATTACTATTTCTCTGATTTAGCTATATATATTTCATTTTCCCTGTATTAGCTTTATATTTCTACATGTAGTTCATTGTACAAGTTGCATTACAAGTTCCCTGTATATATTAGATATTTTAAGTTCCAAGAACAAGCTATTACAAGTTCCCTATAATAATAACTACATAACATGCATAAGTCTCCTATACTAGCTATATTACAAGTTCCCTGTTCTAGGTATATTTCAAGTTACAAGTACTAGCAATATTATAACTTCTCTGTATTGGCTAATATTTATAATTACAAGTACCCTGTATTAGCTAATATTACAAGTTCCCTATACATGTACTACTAGCTACTGCGACATGGGACCGCGGTTTAAACGGTCTCATCCGAAGGACCTGCTCCACGTCCTACAGTGGGATTCGAACCCGCGACATGAGGAATTCCTTACTTTGTGAGTCTAGAGCTGACACTCTAACCACTGCATCATGCGGGCGACCATATATATAGTGTTAAAATTCAATGGATAATACTGTCATCTTGTTCAAATAAATTTATTTGAAACATAATAATATATCTAGCAATAAATTAGACATTACCATATAGTGTGCAACATGATACACTTCCCCAAACAATATTGATCTTTTTGAAGTTCTATTTTGCCTACTACTGTACAATAATCAATAATTTCATAAATGACACTTAAACACCCAATTTTATGTTAACGCCCCCAAAATCTACCTGATTCAAGATCAATAATTTACCGCCTGTCAATCATTAAAAAAACAATAGCTTCTGAATTGATTGACAGGCAGCTACCCTTGCTACCTAATAGTCTGAGTTTGTGTCCTTTGAAAACGATTGACTGGTCACGCGTCAAACACTTTCATGTAGCCGCCTTGTATACACAGGGGTTAAAAAAAGAATCTTGGTAAAATTTTATTTCAAAAACAATTGAGAATAGATATATAAAACTTGACTTCATAAAATATTTGATTTCAATCTCAACCGCTATATTGTATTTTAGGCGATATGTCGTCCAAGATATCTGCTGTAGAATTTAGACAGAAACGCTACTTGCCGATTAAAATTGGAAGATGTTAATTAAGAAAAGATATTTAGCACAAACGGCATGGATAAAAAAAATACCTTTATACCATGTTTTATCTATGTATATATGAATAAAATCTACACCATGTTCCGTTGTAAAGTTCTGAAATGTCAGAAACATAGTTTCGAGATTGTAACTTTTAGTTCGAATTTCCTAACGTCTGTCAGTACACAATATTCGAAATGAAAAAGTGAATTCATAAAGCCAAAGATGAATTCTTAAAAATACGTATGAAAAAAAATTTAAACACACGAACACCCGGAAATGGTGAATATTTTCGACACTGTTGTTGGTCAGAGGGTAAGCAATATTCCTATCGCGGTACATTGTATATGTTCACACGACGGGTAGGCCTATGAATGGAATATTTTATATTTTTTTTAAATTTTGATATTTACACAAGTTTAATTTAAAAAAGATATGTTTACTTTGTAGTTTTACTCTGTGTTCTTTTCGTTAATTTGACATTTTTTAAAAATATAAAAACGATATTTCTTTATAATTTTTTCTTCATTAGATATAGCTGAAAGTATAAATAAATAAATTTTATATTGAAATATTTCAATTATTTCAAGCAGTTTCACTCAAATTTAGACACGAAACACGGAATGTTGACCCTGATCACCAGACACAGACTTCCTGTGTAATGCTACGTGTATATAGATTTTTGACATCTTGGGTATTGGGGGTCTCCAGGTGAATAACACCACTGTTACTTGGACCACTCCCCCTCCTCAGGTAACCGTACGGTAAAAAAATTGGGTCTTTAATTTCCTGTGCACTTAATTTCCTGTGCAGCAGACAGTTTATTCGTATTTTTTAAACAAGTAATTACGTGTGTATTTTATAATCTCCTGCTTAGTGCTAGTCTAATTCAGGGTTAAGTCTCCATTATTTGTTCAATACATTAGTGGTAATGATAGGAGTAAAAGTTAATACTATCGACTTGATCAATGTAACATGCCTTATGTGCAAGTATGCATATCATCAGCAGTTTAACATTTTCCCCATATCATGTAGATCTATGATTTTACTGATAAATGTGTAGCTTTTCAAACTTTCAGTTAACACACTAGTAGTGCAATGTATACAATATATCAAAAATCTGCTTGATTAAAAGAAACTTTTCATGACTTCATCAGAAAGAAACTTGCTAATTTTACAGATATGAATAGAATATCAGACCTCAGTCAAAAGTTGGTGTACAATTTATACATAACACTTAAACATATTTACTAATAAATATAAACTAAAAACACAAGATATGACTGTAACTTTATTCGAGATGTATAATTTTTCTTGTTTTCTGTACATGTAAAAAATTAATTAGAGAGAAATTCTTTCTTTGGTGTTATAATGAATTGCTTCATAGTTTTAATTTGAATACCTGCTTTATAATCATAACCCCTGGTCTCAACAACTTGCAAGTTGGGTCTCATTAGCGCTGCATTTCATTTCCGGAAATATGCATAGCATTTCCGACATTTTTTTATTTCATTTCCAACATTTTTTGTTTTCATTTCCGACATAATTTTCTTTTCAATTCCGGAATTTACCTGTGTGGCAATTCAATGTTTTCTAAGTACAAGAATATGGAATTTTAAAAGCATTTATACCAAAATATTAACAAGAAAAGAACATCTATACATCTATGCATACATGTAGCACTAAGTCTAGGTAGAAGAGTTTGATTAAGAAATAAACAACAATGTTAAAAAGTTCTCTGGGAAATGAACTTTTAGTTGGTCACATGATCAAATCCTGTGAAGCCCGAGGACTTCTCAGTAGATTTGATCACGTACCAACTAAAAGTTCATTTCCCAGTGAACTTTTTAACATTGTTGTTTATTACTTATATTTACATTTGAAACAAATACATTTCGAGTTAAATTGTATTTATTACACGATCGGGCCTACGTATTGCTATGTAGTGACGCGCAATAACCTAGAAGTTGTATGGTCAAAATATCACATCGCTCTGTGATCAGGTCGCTCTATGACCTCTGACCCCAAAATGAAATTCACAAAGAATTGAATGTATTTTCTCATCAATAGGTTCATCTAAGAAAGATATTTGCAAATGTAAATATTGAGCATAAAACTTTTTCACCGCATTTATAGAGCACTAAATTAAATGTCAGTGACAGCATCATACTTATGTCCAAGTCACTGACAGATTTACAAAATTGGATTTCAATGATTTGTTATTGATTTATTTCTTTAAATTTTTCAGAAGGAAAGTTATCAAATCTGTTACTATAGGCACTACGTATGTATTTGAAAAATGTCGGAAATGAAAACAAAAAAAATGTTGGAAATGAAAACTAATAAATGTTGGAAATGAAAAGTTGATAATTACCAAAAATTCCGGAAATGAAATGCAGCCAAATTAGCAAGGCAACTTTTGTTGTTTATACCAATTAGGATGACAGACAGAGCACAACACATGTTTAAATTTTATTTTAATGATGTACAAGTATGTACATGATATTTTGGATTTTCATATTGTCCTGTTATATGTGCATAATGTGCAATGTAACAAAGCTGCTGCATGTCATTGTGTGCTGTTGTTAATTCTACTTTCATTTGAAAGTAATGAACTTAAGGTTTAAAGAAAAATATCAATGGTCTATTAAATACACTGTAATGAACTGAACTCAAAGGAGCTTAATAGCACATTAATGAGCAATATGCTTCATGCAGAATTAGGTCACCTGATCAAAAGCCTAGACATCCTTGGCATTGTCATTACAGATAATGATTAAGCTGTAAAGGTGAATCAGTGATGAACTGATGATGTGTATAACAAAGTCTCAACATCATCACATCTGTGTTTTATTTTCTAGTCTGATATTAATGCACTCCCTGATCACTGTGTTTTAAACCAAAACAATGCTCATAAACAAAGTAAGATTGCAACTGAATTCCTATCACCATTCATTATGGTTCAATATTCTCTATGTTCATACTATGATAAGTTCCCCCTGCAGTGTGTGATGCATGAAGACATTTTTGGGGTGTGGTGGGGGGTGGGGGGGTGAGGAGGGGGTTTATGTATGTATGTTGTAATTTGTACATGGTGAACTATGAGATGATTTCAGAGGAATATCCTATACAATCTTACTTGTAAACAGAAAGTCATCAAGAATTACATATTTTCTTTCCCACACTTACCCATTTTCCAGTATAGTCATACAGATGACCTCTCGCACCCCTATATTGTTGGCTTTTTCTTCATCGAATCTTTCCACATTCCAAGAAGCCACCCTCACAACAGAGCGGTTCTTATGTTTAAAATTAAAAGGTGTCACTTTGGGTCTGGTACCCGATTTGATAATAGGTTCTAAAATGTCCAACATATTTTCTGTTGAACTTGATAATACCCTACAATTGGTATGATTATGGTCATTATTTGACAGTTTGGGAGGAATAGTCGTATTGCCACTGTTAACGGAATCACTTAGAACATGTCCATTAGGTTGAGTATTATTTGAGCTTTCTGAATCATCTACACTTAGTTGATTTCTTATTGCACTGAGTAAATTTGGACCTATTCCCTTCACCTTTATAAGGTCATCTATTGCTTTGAATTGTCCTTTCTTGTCTCGATATGTAACTATGTTCTCTGCCAGAACCTGTCCAATGCCTTTTACTTTCATTAACTGGAACACATTAGAGGAATTCACATTGATTTTTCCATTAGATTTTCTAGATGTCTCACTTCTAAATGAAATGTCTGATCGACTACCCGTCGGAGAATTTTCTTCCGTTGGGGGTCCAGTACTACCTTGTCGTTTCATAGAAAGAGTAATTTCATCCCGAATTATACTCAATTTCACAGCACCAACACCAGAAACTAATGCTACGTCTTCAATTTTCTTAAATCCCCCAATTTTTCTTCGATACTCTATAATGGCCTGAGCTATGGCTCTGTTAATCCCTGGCAGAGTCATCAGTTCTTCCTCTGTTGCATAATTAATATTCAAAAGATTTTGGCCCTGATCACCCTCCATCATCGCAGACATGTTAAAAGCTGCACTCAAATTCCGCCTATGCCCAATCTTTTTGGGGGTGCTTGAATCTGAGTCGACATGCTTTGGAATACAGCAGCTATTGACGGCCCCCATCTTTCTTCTTTGTGTCTGTCCTCCAGAAAAAAAATTACACTGTAATCATTCAACTATACAGATAACTTTTAGTCAATATCACTTCGTTCAACAGTTACATGCATAGCTGCCATCCGCATTCATTGATCAGAAATCCACCTGAACACTGCATTATAACCAATGCAGGTAAACCATAAATAAATCCATCCTTGTGTGTGCTGCGATCAAACCTGACTCGGGATAAAAGCCTTGTTTCCATCTGAAAAAAAAAAATGACAGTGAAGAATAAATATCGTATTACACACCAATTCACCCGTACACATTCGTACACAATCCAGAAAAAAGTACGAGCCCTTTACATTTTGGATTATTTTTGTAAGTCGTCTAGGTCAGACACATTTAGAGCTTCTTAAGTTTGAAGTAATAATAATGAAGTGTTTTGATTTTCGGTCTTAACTCTTAAAAGAACATTTACCAGCAGGGATGCAAGTGCTGAATGAAACTCACTCTTGGAATGCATGCCTTTCTGACAGCTATATAAAAATCCCTGGTAGATGAGAGAAGGTAATAACGCATTTTAAAAATAAATCATTTAGCAACTGCTTGAATACATGATAGACATGCGATTGTGTCAATGCACTATTTATGAATGTTTCTGCAAATAAAATTTATATCTGCAGGTACAGAATATTAATATTAAAGTATGTTTTGAATTTTATCATTTACTGCCAGTAGCATGTGCACATTTCATAGTGTAAACATTTCAAAGTGCATATATAAATTTAAACTGATAAAAATATAAACTTGTTGGAGTGATCAAATTATGTACATAGATATATTGTTTTAAAGTCACATGTACATTGTACCAGACACTGCAATGAAATCTATTTATACATACATGTAATTATGATAACAAGAAAGTCAGCTCAAAGTTCATTGAAGTCGGTGAATAAACACTTAAAACCTCCACTCATTTAATACTCAAGTGCACGATTCTTTTATGGCCAAATACAAGTATGTTATTATTAAAATTCATTGTTTTGATGTTTTTATCAAGTGAATTAGTTCACAGATGAATGCAGCATTGTGTAAAAAATGATAGTAATGTTTTTGTTTTCCATACAAATTGAACAATTTAAGAGATACTAATTCCTTTAAATTAATATCTAACCTATCGGTAATTAGAATATCATAAGCATTCAATAATAAATCTTTGTTTATAAGCATTCCATTATAAATCTTTATAAAAATTTTATTCCTGAAAATCATAAAATATTCATGTATTATTTATAATTTAAAGCATCTGCATAAATAAAATTTATCCTAAAATCTTAAACAAATCCTGAAATCTTGAAAATACCTTCAACATGTTCAAGTCATTTGAACAGTTCATCTTAATCATTGTTAATCCATCATCACAATCTATCTTAACACAATCATTGTGCATAATGATCTCTGTGATAGACACTGCTGGCGTGAATGATCAAGCCCTGTCCTACTAGGAGGTGCCAACAGAGATAGTCTTTAATTAGGCAATACCTCTAATGTTACCTCTTTACAGCAGGGCAATAAATCTCACACAGGCCCGCTATTTGTCAACAAGAGAACAGATCAGCAGGATCAAGGTTCAAGGATAGAAAGCTCAGAATTTAAATACTGGCTAAAAACACCAGCTAGTGGTCACAACAAAATGCTGAGTAGAGAGAAACCCTAGAATCAATATACACTGTACAGACAGTGGATTATTCTTTGTGTGGACAGACACTAATGAGTACAATATATCTTTATTTGTAAGACCCAATGTGCTATATTTTGTGTATACACAATTACCAGCATTTGACTTAGATAACTCAGCTAACATCCTTAAAACTGCAAGGTAGTGTGCTTAATCATGTAGTCAACATATAAAGAAATTCTCATTAATTTAATTTTTTAGGTTCACTAAAATATTAAGATTTTTTTTTCATCCTAAGAAATTTTGGGAAAATAGAATTACATAGGACTCACTGTTTCATGTTTACTAATAGTTAAGACCTAATACATCATTTAGATATCTTGATTATAGTAAAATCACTACAATTACCGTATAAAATTTCTTCACATAATCATGATAATACAGAATAAAGCCCACAATTATTACTTTCCCCTACCATTTTTTATATAAGGCCTAGAAAAAAATATGTTTGTTTCCACTTTCAGGCAGAAAAAATATAGGGTAGGTAGGCAATTTTTTTTTTTGGAAAATTTTTTTTTTGCTTTTAATCAAAACATGTATAGAAGTAACATTAATGGCAAAAGAAATGTTGTTTTCAAGCATTTCTGTGACTTAAACTTATAATAGAAAGGTGACCCAACCTTCTTTCTGTCTTGAAAAGCTTGCATTGTTGGAGACTATAATTCCCTGGGTGAAATCTTGCACTTCATGTTGTTATTTTTTGAAATAAACTGTAAAAAAAATCAGTTGTGTCTTTGTTTATTACAGATTTTCTAGAAAGTAAGACTAAATTAAGAATAGGTACAATATAGATATCGGATTTAAATGCACTTCATCGAAATCTTGGCACCAATACACAGCCCTATTCATGGGACAAAAGCATTAGAAAAAATTTTAGGGTCGGCATTATAAATTAGGGTCGGTCGGGAAAGCGGAAACAAACATATTTTTTTCTAGGCCTAATCATACATACCTGCAGGTATTCTAAAACTATACGTCCTACATTTTCCACCTCAAACAGTTTTTTTTAACTTAATTAATTCATGGAATGCAGCATCAGGTTATGTAAGCCCCGGCCTCTCCTCTTTTAATACAGACAGTTCTTTTGATTTTCAATTTTCTTTGTAGCAGCAGACTGACAACTTGTGAATTAAATAAGAAATTACTGTAGATTAAGAATACTATTCATATGCTTCAGGTATATAACATTGAATTTGGTAATTTCTGAATGAAATTTGAAATATTTGAAGTATAATCTTGAAACATTCCATGTTTGGAATCTGGTCTAACAATACATGTACACAACTACACATGCATGCAGCAAGATGTGGTTTAAAAATATTTTGAACTGTCCTCTGTAAATTGAACCCCTATTAATACTCTCTTAATCAAAATGTAAATTATAATAAATACAATGTCCATGCGATAAATATTCATAACTTTGACTCCAGGTCCTGCATCCCTGACAATAACATATGGCGTGACATTTACACTTTGCTATGTAAAGAATTAGGATTTTGATCTTCCCTGGCAGATACAAACAGACAGGGGACTAAACTTTCATGACAACATGAGTTGTTGAGAGCCTTGGGTTTTAATCTACACCCACTCCTGACAGGATTGAAACCTGTAGTTATGGGATGGCCATTCACCACCAACGTGATGCTTATAAAATCTTTTTTTTAATTTCTCCTGATTTGGGAAACCAAAAATAGCATTAGGCTATTTAGCAGTATGATTTAAGAAAAATCGGAATCAGACAATGTACAGAAAGAGAGGAATTAAGGCACCACTTGCTTTAAACCTGAATGAATGTCAGTACACACATCATATGGTCACTTAATATTATACTCACCAGAGCTGGACAGAACCCTTATAACATATTATAAAGGAGTGAATCCACCTCCTCTCCCCTTGCTTGTTAGAAGATGTTTACTGTTGATGTTGTTGATAAGGAAATTAGCAATGAAATACACACCCAACACAACCATTGAATTTTAACCAGGGGGCTTTCTTTTAAGGGTGTTATCAATACACCCACACTCTCTAACAATATATGCATACCTTTCTTGTTATTTCTATTTTATAAAAGACCTGAATAGATTTATTTCTTTGATAAATTATACCGTACCTTGATAAATATTTTTGCTACCTACTTGGTAAGCAAAAAATTTCCATGGATGAACAAGCTGCATGAACTTTATCTTATTTTTTGTTTATTTATAATGATTGAGCATAACACTTTAATATTTTCCTTTCAAAATTCACTATATGAGCTTAAATCATTTCCTGAGTTTAGAAACTTAATTTACATATCATACCTTCAGATTTGCCTGTAATTAGCTGGGCTGTGCATATCATAATCTACATCATCTACTGCTATACATGTAATAATGAAAATAAATACATGTTCACCTGTTAACTGTTTATAGTAGCTTAGATCTAGAAATGATTATAAATCTTTATCATTCCCATGTATGGTATGAAACTCTTGTCTTCTAGAAATCTCTGACATTCCCTTTAAATATAATATTCTAAATTTGACACAGTACCGGGTATTATCATCTTAATGTTGCTGTAATATTTGTACATGATAACATTGTATAAATCAATTAACTCCAATAGAAAAAAAAAAACAATATTAATATACTAGAAGCAAGAAATTGTTACCCATGGCTGCTTTTATCTGTTGTAATTTTCTGAACAATACCACTCAGTATACATAATACTGGTATATCATTATACTTACAAGTATAAAATGAAAATGAAAGAAGTCTCGCTAAAAATCCCAGGGATAATATGACAATATGATGACCTGATATTTAAATATAGATGATCAACCAGAGGTAATCTCTATAAAAAGAAAGTAAGATGACTCTCCGGTATATCCAGGACAAAAAGTCAAATTATATTTTAATGAACTTGGGAAACTTTTTATAGCTGGGTACCAAAATACATCAAGGTTAAGATAGTGCATTAAGCCTTTATGGATTTTCTTAAAATATTTTAAAATTAGTAAAAAAAAAAAAAAGTACTAACTCTTTGGAAGACCTATTTATACTTCAAAACTTCTGATTTAATGATCATAATTATTATACAATTAGAGTGTTGCATAGAACGTAAGTGTCAGCTACTTTTTTTTTATTACCCAGTGGCCAGTACTAGGTTTATTAAATATTTATTAAATATTTAAATAAATCTTAAAGAGCTAGAAGTCTGCTATTTTTGCTACAAGCAAAGTTCATACCTTAATGTCTGCAAAACATAGTAGGACAGACTGACAAAATCAAACAATCTAATACAAATACAACTTCCATACCATCATCATAAAATCTTAAATGTCAGAATAATGAAATGGAACTTACTAGCACTAGAAGTAATGACTTATTATCTTATTTCAACCCATTTCAGATTTCAGTTTACATCAGTATATACAAACCATTTAGATTAAAGATTCTTATGTATATTTGAAATATCTATATTTAAACAAGAGGGTACAGTTTGTACTTCATTGTGCATATTCTTAAAATTTAATGTTTAAGCAGTTGTCGCCCAATTTAATTTTCAGATATGATGTGTAAAATCCTTTAAAATCATATTTCCTTTAAAAAAAAAAAAAAACATTTCTCAAAATGTTTTCTTTTAGTACTACGGCCCCCTCCTCATCTTCTCTATGAAAGGCCTAATAATGTCATTTCAGAAATCGACTGAATGAAGAAGACTGAAAGCGGGTGGGTTTGGTTCTTCATTTAATCAATTTCTGAATGGTGTTCACATGGCCTTTTGTAAAGAAGTTGAGGCAGGGGGAGTATTAAAACGAACCATCAACCTCGCAATAAAGAATAGTATGATGTCAAGAGATGTCAGAGTCTAGTTTGTACAAAATGTCATATGCATGCAGTTTGAACTTTGAAGAGACAGATCTAAATTAAAACAAATGAGTGTCTGTGCCCCCCTTAATGGTCACACTGTTGACACATCATGATGCACTTGGAAATTTCCTAACCAAATTTGAAATGCAGTTTGATTATGTAATGTAATACAATCTTGGTAGACATACCAAGGGGTTTCAAAAGAGGGTATAAAAACAAAACAGGGGTTAAAGTTGTTAACTGTTTTTTCAATATATTTTTTCAATTTTATCTAATTGTCGTTGAATATATCCAATAAAAAAAATCCTGTTTCACGAAAGACTAAGATAAATCCTTGCACTGATGAATAACTCATAATCTGGGGGGAGTATACAAATGTACAGATAATTACAACCTGAACAGTCCGATGATATTGTAACATTAAGGTGATAGTGATTTATAATTTAGTTACTGACACATCATAAAATATTCTTCAATTATCTTAATTCGTTCAAACTCATTAAATGTTAAAAAGAATGAAGTAAATACTAGCTTACCAGTTAATGAATTACAACCAAACATTTTTTCCGTAAATCCAAACGTCTATCTGATGAAGATTAATTGACCGGTGCGCTTGACGTCACATTGAAAATGAAAGTACAAGGTAAAAGTCAAATCTGCATGTTCCGAATATTTTATACTGGGATATTCATGATATTGCCACACAAACACAAGCAAACATGTGAAAATGTATCAACTATGTCAAATATGCAATGTGGACCTAAAGCTACTTCAGCCCTGCGTGCATGTACAAGAAGCATGAGAATTTTAGTTTGAAAATTAATTTACATGTAGCTTAGGCCTAGGGTATCCTTACAACTTTGTGCCGGGGTTCAAAGTAGAAAGCTGCATTTATTTTCAATGAATATAGTTTAAATAAACTAATCTTAACTAAAGAAATGTATAGGTTAAATAAGCAAAAATATATGTCAACACTAAGAAAATTACTATTTTAGGTAATTGAAGGATGTGGAGATAACGAACAGTGTTCAAGATCAAAGTCCATAAAACAATACAAATTAAAATAGGAGCAGAGCAAACAAGGACCTCCAAACATCAGAGGTGGGATCAGGTGCCATGGAGGAGTGAGCATCCCCTGCCGACCGGTCACACCCGCCGTGTGCTCCTTGTCATGATCGGGAAATAACGGAAAAACCCGTTGTCAATTCCTTGTAAAAATAATGGACTAACAATTAGTATGAAAAACGTCAATCAGCATTTGACTCAATGATGAATAATATTTGCTGACAAGGTCATTATATCAATCATAGAATTTACGAAATGATGACTTGAAACGAGACTGCCGATATTCTTGTTTAAGCAACTTGTTTGTCAATAATTTACCTCGTTTTATAAATTGTTCATATATATATATATATACGTAGAGAATGCTCTTGCGTATCGAATCAGCTGAGATACATGTGTATATAAACTCCGTATGCAGGTGATGAAGGTATATTGCTGCGTAAGTAAGAGAAGTTGACGATAGAAAAGTTCAAGTCATCACGTTTATCATAGAGCTTGGTTGTTAGATTTCCATTGACGTCTTTGTCAAACTCTGTGGTATCTTTTATCTCAAGCTCACCAAGATACATCACATCGACATAAGAATGGAGATTACTATTGTTAATTGACAGTGCGTCATCCATATATCTAAATGTCAAGATGAAGGCCACAACAAGTGTTTTCTTCTTTTCACGCATAAGATTTTGCACAGATTCTGCTTCATATGAATACAAAAAATAGGTCTGCTAATAATGGTGTGCAATTGGTACCAATGGGAAATCCAATAGATTGTAGGAAGACCTGGTCTCAAAAAACAAAGAAATTGTCAATCAGAATCTCAAGCATTTTTTAAAGTCGACTTCAGAGTATGATAACTGGTTCAAATACATAATTCTGCTGCTGAAAGTTTTAAAACAATTGTTTCCTCATAAAATAATATGTTTGAATCGTGAATAACAGGGTAAACATTTAACATAAAAAGTACAGCAAAGAAATAATTTGGAACTTTGAAACTTTGATTTAAAATACTAGTAGTACAATAAAACAAGAATAAAATATAGTTATCTATACATGTAGTTTACTATAACTTTTTTTGTTAGAGTGGTCTGCTTATATAGGCTATAAGAGTCGTGATAAAAAGCTCGTTGACTTTTTAAGATTATGTCCGGAAACAAGTGTTACACACAGACAAAATAAAATGACAGTGAGCTAAACGGATTAACTGACATATGTGCGGACAGACAGACCCATATTAATAATCCCTCCCCCCATTTCAGTAAAAATGTGGGAAACAAACGTTGAATTTAAAAAAGTGTAAATATTCTACTAGTGTAATTGGTAAAGAATGTTACGCAATTAAAACTCTTTTGGAAAGTAGAAAGAAAAATGAATAAAAACAATTTTATAGACAGCATAATCAGCAAACAATTCAAACAAGGATCTGGATATCAATAATTGGACGCTAATAAACCCTTTCCCTCCGTATATATCATTTTGACAAACCTTGAAAATAATTTCTCACACAAAGTTTAATGTATTTTCCTTCAAGGTTATGACCTTAAGTGACAACTGAATAGGTTTTAAATATCTAATTACGTTTAAAGAGTGCAAAGGACTGTATTCTTTTTGTCATGTCAAAGATTTCCAACTGAAGAAAGGAAACTAACAAAAGTAAGATTTTTTCTTTGGATTGTACAAAATTGTTATCAATCAGATCACGAGTGAACATAGTAAAAGTACGTGTTGTTGAGGTATAAGATAAATACCTTTGGCTAAGAAGCAACATAAGTCTTATTATAAAATGTTAATAAAGAAATTATGATTGAAACAGTGATAAATGACCTTTTGATAGAAGCTTTAGTATTTTCAAGAGGAAAAATAGAAATATGACAAGAAACCTTAAAGTCAGATTTTGAAGTCAATCGTCATCTTCGCTATCCAACTCCCAGCTTCAACAATTTTAGACTTTATTGAGTAGAATATTGAGAAAATCACTGTTATAAGCTCGTTGTTCTCCCTAGCGACCAGTGGTTAAACAGCTTGTTTTTAGCCGATTCTGAGGTTTCTATAGTTCTGTCAAACATGCTTATCTTATTACTTTCTGTATTTTATGAAATCTTTATATTTTTAGATATGAAGTATTTGACCGTCAGCAAGGAGAGAATTGAACTGAAAATTATTTTTCGGTAAGCTCAGACTTTGTACATGTATCTTGAAATAAAGAAGTTCGTGCATGTGTCGTGTTGTAAATTTTGAATTTACCGGATGGCAGTACAAGTACAAAATATTGTCATGTTGTAACTTATGTATTAACTGCCACTAGGTAAATTCAAAATTTACAACATGACACATGGATAAAAGACAAGTAAGTGACATTCATGATCTTTACATTACATTTACTTTTATGTCCAAATCAAGAGGAAGCACTGTTGCCCTGAATGTTTTCAAGTGTAACTGGTATGTAGTTCTATATATTGCGCTTCATTTTGTGTGTGTTTTTTTAAAATATCTCAGGACACATGCTCTGTATATATCTGTATTCTACTTTATGTTTATGTTTACAAACAGTAACTGATGAACCACGCAGGTTAATAAACGATGCTTGATATCTTTGTCGGAAAGGTACAAAAATCACCATTCACCACTATCCAAAAGCAAAGCCATGAGAACTCTGGATATACATTTTCATAACACAAAGCACTAGTCTTGAATTCTTAAAACAATTTATTTGTTAGTATGAATGATAACAAAGTAAACAAATTTATTTAAGAATGAATAACAACAAGTTGAATTTTGTAAGATTTTACAATCAATTTTAAAGTTTTTCTTTGTCTTAGTAGAAAGTTCTTTTGTAAAACGGGTCCCAGGCTTTCTCCATTCTTTGGACTCCATTCAACTCTTTTACATATTAAATTTCTTTACTTTCGTAAAGTTTCCTTGAAAAAACTGAAAGAAAAATCAAAACCTCCAGTACAATGTAGTTTAATACCCAGTATAACAATCCAAACTAGATATTATTTTCGAAAAAGAAATGTAATGTTAAACCTGCTACATGTATGTAGAAAAATAAAGATAATTTTTAAACTTTACCCTTTTCTTGCAGCTGTACAAAGTGTACGCTATGGATCCAAATATTACACCACTGGCTAAAGCTCCCGGGAAAATAGTAAGTACCCAGGCTATAAAATGTGAAAAGAATGAAAAAATTAAGAAAAACAAATTTAATTTACTAATAAAACATGTAAACTTGCAATTGCTTTTAAAAGTTTTCCGGTTATTACATTACAACATTTAATGCAAAATATATAATCATACATATTCAAAAGTGTCATTTCAATACTTAAATCAAGGGATCTGCCCGAGTCCTGGTTTGTTAAGGACGTGTTCGAAGAAGAATTCGTTGATGTCTCGGTCACCACCGATGACGCTGTAGTTGTGGAAGTTCCTGCATCACTAGCTGTAGAAGTAAGACTACTGGAAGTACTCGTGTTTTCAGAATTTATAGAGTTTAGCTGAACTGAGGAAGTGGTCGTTGTTGTGTTATCTGTTATATTAGTAGATGTCTCGGTCACCACCGATGACGCTGTAGTTGTGGAAGTTCCTGCATCACTAGCTGTAGAAGTAAGACTACTGGAAGTACTCGTGTTTTCAGAATTTGTAAAGTTTAGCTGAACTGAGGAGGTGGTCGTTGTTGTGCTGTCTGTTATATTAGATGATGAGGAATTTGCTACTGAAGTACCATTGGATATTGCTATGGAAGACCCGCAACCAAACATAGCGGTGGCGTTTATGCATTCGATTGACACACGTCCTGAATTTTGAGTTGCTGTAAGTACAGAATCGGGTAGTTAATAAACCTTTACTAGAAAATTTTAACACTGTTCACTTACTTAAAAAAAATAAAAACGTCAGACAAAAGCACTTATTCTCCACTATGGAATTTTTATATAAAAAAGTACCTTTCGCAACCATTTGAAAAGAAATGCATTTATTTAGTAATGTCCAAATCTTTGTATCAGTAATTTCAAATAGCAAATAATGCAAAAAGTGTGAAATCCAATTAACATTTAAAAAAAAGTTAGCAGACGAACTATATTCTATTTTCTATATATTTTGATAAGTACAAAACTATAAATACGTAATTAAATAGATATTTTATCTACACATTTATTTCATTTGCAGGAATGTTTTTCAATGATATATTTATGCATATGTGTGAAAATGAAATGTCAGCAATGATAAATCACCATTTTTTTCCTCTTTTCTATTGTGTATAATTTTGTTAATTGAATATTGAAAAATAATATCGATCCAGGGAGGTACTGGCACCCCAGGTGAGATAAAACTGATGGATTCTGTGGAAGTTATACCTCCATATTTGTTGTATGTTATTGGAAATAAATGTACTTAAAAAAAGTAATGTCCAAACTGAACAATGAATGCAATGTTAAGTGACGCATATAGTCATTTAAAACAGATAACTCTTGAAATTGAACTCGCACTTTTAAAGAAAAGAATTTTATTTTCTTCCGTGTTTTCATCGTCGCAAACCACGGGTTTTGAGTCCGCAAAAGAGAATCGACGTGAATCACCCGTGGGTTACCGACGATGCCGTGTTTTGTGTTCCCTCTGTTTGCATTCATGTAAAAGAACTGAGACCTTATGAATTTGTTTTTATCTTAGAAGAGTTATATAGTGTAGTCAGTGTGGTTTCTGTAGAATGTTCCTTTGGATTACACTGTTTAAAAAATGAAAGCTTAAATTTGTGTTTCTTTTAGTTAAAAATCATGCAACTAGAAAATAACTATGACATTGTCTTCTAAAGATAGCCATTTTAACATAGAAAGCGATATGATACCGCTCTTTATCATTCATCTCTTTTAAGAAAACAGAAATGTCATAATGTTGTTGCAACCTCGCTGACTACATGTACCTTCACAAACTACCAGCTTTACATCAAAACAGTGTGCAATTTGTTTTCGGGGAAGATCTTTGGAAAATATTGTTTTAAAACAATGTCGACTTGCATATTGAATTCACTCTTTTAAATTATGATTATGTTGCGTTTACATACAAGCAATTTTGTACTATGAGTATGAAGAGAACAAAATAAAGAGAAATCTAACCTTCAATTTGAATCCAAAATTTCCCAGCAGTTGTTGTAGCTGTGTTATCTAATCTGATTTCAATTGCGCTACTAGAACTTGTAAAGACAACTCTCTTGACAAAGTTATTATTATCCTCACAGTTAATTTCACTGTTTGTGGATCCATCAGTAATGTAAATCCTCTGTTGACAGACTCCAGACGTTTCACTAAGCTGGATATCTAGAGCCGTGATCTGCAATGGAGACCCATTTGATGTCTGTACTCGACACGTGGCACCGGAAGTAGTCGAACACTCGGACATCATTGATGGATAATTTTCACTGAGGAGAAACACTGCATCTGATGTTAGCGTAGACACCGAATTAATAGAGAGTGAAGAGGAATCTAAAAATAATTAATTATATTTTTCACAGATCAAGTATGTTAACACTTTTTTCACAAAGCCTAAGTTATATGGTTTGACCCTACCTTATACCGTATATCTGTTTTTTTTCATCTGTTGGAAATTTTGCGAAAAAGGGGCAGATTTGTACAGTTTTTATTTTGCGTAAGTTTTATATTACGATGAAAGATTAAGAAAAAAATGGTGATGTTTTTAGATCACATTATAGCTGACATAATTTTTGCATGCTTTATATTTTGCGAATAAAAAAAAAATGATCGCAGAAAAGCGGAAAATAGATCACCGCGAAAAAACCGAATATAAGGTATCATTATCAATAAAGGCGGATAAAATAAACTAGAACTCATTTAATTTTAAGAATATTATTTTTTTAAGAAATGGATGAACATAATATGATATACAGATCAATTGTTTCTCAAGTTAAATAGAATCAATTTGAGATAAATTAATATATTTTGTTTTTGAATATTACTTCACAACTTATGTAAAATATACTTAGAAAAAGGTTAATCGTTAATTATCAAGAAAAATGTTCTTACCTGGTATACAGTTATACCACATTTTCATATAGTTTGTCCTATCGGCATAAACAGTTATGTTGCAGAAATGTTCTGTGTAGTTCCACGCAACTTGTATTCCTCCGCATGTTGCTAACCCCGTGCATCGCGAATAATGTGCATGTTCAAATTCGCCTGCGGTTCCAAAGTATCTTTGTCCACAGTCCTCTTTTTGGTTAACATAATTGCAGCAGTATGTGATATTTCTGTCAGCGAATGTGGCTGTAGTTGGACAATTTAGTGATCTGTGTTTGGCATACACAAACACGTCATAAATGTATATTTTTTCGCCAGACGAACACGAAGGTGTTAAATAGTCCTCAAAACCATTACCATAGCAAGCTTGCAGAGTGTTGTCTGTCAAAGCGGCATCTATTGGAACAATATATTTGAAAAAAAAAAAACATTGTTATTTTTGTAATTTATACAATAAAGATAAAATGAAATAGAACTTATTTTAAAAAATGGAAATAGAAAAAAAATCCTTCAAACTGTTTAGCTTCTACATGCATTGCCATTGAAATATAGACTATCTCGCAAAAAAAAAATTTGTAATCGACTCAAAAATTGTAAAAAAAAAAAAAAAAAAAAAAAAAAAAAAAAAGATCGAATAAAAGTTAAAATAGATTTGACGAAAATGACGTCTGACATTGACATATAAAGATACGATAAGCAAAAGAAACTTAAAAACATATTCCAAAGAGACAATATTGAAAATTAAAGAAAAATATTACCTGAATAAAGCACACACAGTATTACATTGAACAAAATTAGAAGAAATTCCACTGCATCCATATTTAAACCTTAATTAATTTCTTTATGTCATATTTTTTTAATGGTACCCATTCTCATGGAATGTTTCTTAATAAAAATCTGACAACTGTAGATATCGAAGATTTAAATGACAGAAAATAGGGTCACAGAAGTTCTTGCACCGTTCCCAAAGACACTGCAGGAGAATTGACGAAAATGACGTACTCTAGTAGAAGAGATTTAATCTTATAGAGTTACATTAGAAATAAGTGAAGGTTTATAATGACATTTGATATATTTGTAGAACTTTGAAACTGACTTTCACAATGACCAAACATTTAGGATCTGACATCAAGATGACTCTGAAATTAATAGAACTGACATCTTGAAAAAGTGGACCAAATTTCGCTACAACTGCAATGTAACTCTTACAGAACTTGATATTTTTGTATCTCTTTCTCTTGTTTCGAGATCTTTCACCTTCGCCTTGTGGTGGTCTTGGGGGTTTTGATTTCATATTTTCAATACTTGTTGTAAAACTAAATGTATAACATATAATTTTTAAATCTAACATGCATACATAACTTTATTGATAATCTATAGCTTACCGGTAATTTATTTATACATGTCAATGTTAACGTTTAAGAGCTTTAAATTTCTTTTTTTCTTTTTTTAATTGGTGAACGTAGTATCCCCGTACTGCTTTGTCTCAGGACTGATTTTTCTTGATAACTCATATAATAAAGGATTGACTTTTTTTAACGATAAAGGATCAAGGATAAAGGACTGATGATTTTTTTAATTTAAGATTTAAGACAAAAGTTAATATTGAGCTTGTATCTTGAATTTTTTTAGTTCCTTTTTATATGATAAATTTCTATTTCAATTGACAATTTCAAACAATCTGTTAAACTTAGATATTAATTTAGACCCACTTTTGTACTAAATTAATATTTGTTGCAAAGTCGAAAGGTCATAATGTGAGACATGTAATGTAAGCAGTCAAGTACCTGTCCAATTTTCTAGAATACGCCAGAGAAATTTCAGAAAGTTAAAATGGGATATGAACGTAAAAGGCTTCAATAAATCTTTTTTTAATTGTTTTTGATTTGACTTCCAAAACACGACGAAGAATTAAGAAGAATTTTTTTTTATAAACAAGCGCACACCATTGCTTTATTTTAAAGAATTGTTGTTACAAAATTACATGACAATTGTGCGTTGTGAAGCAAATTGATATTACATTAAGTATAATTTTCTTGCTAATAATACTGTCAGAGTTTCACTGTATGACCTTTCTTTTTATCAACTGACATGCTATGAACAATTTTAACGTTCATCGAACTCGAAACTAGACAAAAATAATTCCTTATACTATTTGAATTTTAAAAATCTCAATCAGAGAAACGATATGTTGGCAAATGTTCAGTAACTTTATATTTTTTAGATAAGCTAGACAAATTGGATAAATTAGGGGGGATTTCAAATGCAACAATTACGTAGTTTTATTTTTAATAAAAATTTATTTTAAAAAATTATACTGACATTAATTTAAATTTGAAGTTTTTAATTTAAACACACTTCAAATGAGAAATATGCATTTCAAATTATTTCTTCGGGATTATCTTAGTCCTTAAATGTGATATTCAGCAAAAATTGAAAAAAAAGTATTTCCGATGTGAACATTAAAAATATGCAATTCATCAGAAGAGATCTGGGTTATTACCAAATGTTTTTATTTTATGAAAGGCATTCGTCTGGAGGAACATCTTCGTCGGAACCCACGTGCTCTCCGTTTCACTGCATTCAACACAGTGAACTCGTGGGTTTTAACGTTGGAGGCACGTCTTTCCTGAGAATGTACGCATTGTAAATCTGGTTTTGTGGAAATGAAATGATCTTAGAAAGCCCGTGACATGGCATGGATAATCATAACCAAAAATGTTTCTGTTATTATTCGTACATTTTTATTCTTAAAAAAAGTTTTTCGAGATCACATTTGACTCAATTTGAATCTTTAGAATTTCTGAGTATAGAACGAAGAGAAACAAGATGTTTGTAAAACACTTATGCCCTCTCCACAAGTCCATAGGACGGAACTCTGTCAATAAATGGGTCGATCGTACCCAAAACAAAACTTGACCTAGATATTCTTATGATAAATCTGTATACTAAATTTTATTTCATTATGTGCAACCACAACGAAGACAATGAATGGAAACTGCAAATAGTTGAAATATTTCTAAGTCCAAGGGGTAAAACTCTGTCAAGAATGGCTCGATCGTAACCAAAAAAAAAAATGAATCTAGATATCCTTATGATAAATCTGTATACCAAAATTGCATTTTAGTATGTGCAACCGCTGCTAACAAAATGAACGGAAACTTGGCGGACCGACTAGCAGCAAAGCAATATGCCCTCCCTTCTTCGATAGGGGCATAAAAATATGAATTTTAAATTCCCCAGAACGAAGAAACAAAAATGGATTTTTAAAAAAAATGCACTATGAGATATTAATATGGATTTCATTTGGCGTCCTGGAAAAGGAAGAGTCGCCGCCAGGTGATAAACACAGTCAGGTACCAAATAAACACAAAAATAAGACAATTCAATTAAATGTTTTTTTGGTGAAAGTAAAGACTTTCACATTTTCTTATAATATAAAATGAGTAAAAGAAACACACTGCTGCATAAAACTATTAAAACATCAAGGAAAATCAACTGTTATGCTAATTACACATACAGATCACCTTTCCGATAATTATTTCACATGTATAATTTGTACATAATACAAAACTTTGGGAATTATTTTAAAAGTAGATACGTAAATGTAAAACAATGATGATTCAAAAATTTCAGTTCTTTGCTATTAGTCATGTAGTCCGACATATCTGACGTTTTCCATGGTTTTTTTTCTTCAGGAATTTGATATTTTACTTGTCGATTTTTCATGGCACGAAAATATCAAAATCGTAAAAAAAGCCTTGGAAACTTGAGATATTTCGGACTAATAGTCATGTTGTTCAATACACCCCCGTTTAAACTCAAAGAAAATTAAATTCACATTACTATGTATGCACATTGGCAAATTATAATTAAATGTACGAACAATAACATCATCAAAAACTTTGAATACATTTGAGATGTTTTAGAGAGGTTCTACTGTAAGGCATAAACATGAAAATTTGATTATCAAATTTAAATGTATTTCATGAAACAGTTTTAAACCCCGCTCTACATTTGTTCATTATTTTACTGCTCTTTCAGAATTCGTTTTCTGTTCTACATCACTTTGCAATTCTTTCTTCTTTTTCTCTCTCGTTTTGGGAGTTTTTCGTATACATGTTCTTCATTAGAATTATCTTTACATAACAATTTTGTGGTTTCACTGATTGTAGAATAGCCATTTTGGTCATCTTCATCCATGTTTGGCTGTATCTTGCGTGCTTCCCAATTCATGGCGGGGCAGTGAAGAAGATGTGTTGTCAACATGCAGCGGGTAAGAAACATCTCGCATCCTGATTCAAAATTTATGCAACGCATGACAAATGCGGGGCAAATAGTTTCGTAGTGGTCTCTCATTTTACAATTATGAAGAAAAACTCCGCAATAGCATTCCCTGAGTGAGCAGTTTATGTCAACCGGAGCTTTACAGTTCAGTTGAAAGCAGTTATCACAATGGTGACTTTGCTCAATGATATTCTGGTAAAGATTATATGGAGGTATTGTCAATGCTTCAAAATTCATGACTGGACATTCACGTAAATGTTCTGTAAGAAGTATTCTGGACAGTTTGTATTGACACCCGTACTCTTTATTTATGCATGGGATCTCTTTGAATTGGCAAATTCTTTTGTGATCCTTGATTTTACACGCATGAAGTTTCATTGAACAGCCTTTGCTCGGACATCTTTTGATCTTACATTCATGGTTTTCGGAACAGTTCATGTTATGACACTGCAGACAGTGATCGTGTACTGTTTCTATAGACTTTTCACCTCGTTTAGTGGAAAGACGGGGGCGAAACTCACCAGAAAGCCTGTAGGTCGGAGTATCCGGTGCAACTAGTCTACCTCTCGTATCCTGCTGCATTTTAGAGCATATTTTAAGATGATACGAAAGTTTACATCTCGGCATTTCCATTGGACAGCCGATAGTTTTGTTAATACACGGAATTATTGTATACTTACACATTTCATTGTGTTCTCTCTGTTTGCATTTATGAAAGATTGCCTCGCCACATTTGTTTTTGCATTTCACTACTGGACAAGCTTTCATTTCTTTGCAGTTCTTATCAAAGCATTTTAAACAGTGTTCATGTTCGTATATAATCTCTTCTTCGTCACCTTTATCACTTTTAGGTCTGTCTGCCTCTCTTTCCTCCTGGACGATCAATTTAACCAAAGGCGCGGATCTATCCTTGACCGACACATTACCCAGATCATCCAATAACGGCTTCTTAATCGTAACACTTTTATTCAAGTTGACCTTTTCTTTGTTTGCTTTAGATTTTTCGGGTTCGCTTTTCTTCTGGGGTTTGTTTTTCTCTTTAGAATACAGCGAAGAACTCAAGGAGCCAACCATAGAAATCTGGGTATCAGATAGGATTCCAAGGTGATTTGGAAAAGGTGTCGTTTCATTTACGTCAGTGGAAGGTTTAGATTCATTGCTTGTCTTGTTGTTCTCCAAAAGCTGTTCTTTCAAACTCCGCTTCAAGTCTTTCACAGAAATGTTTCCAAAATTGAAGGAAGTTCGGGGAGACCCTCTGCCCGCAAAACCAGACATTGATGTATTTTCAGTCTCTGCAGCCTGTAGCTTAATTTGCTTGTCATCACTTCCATCATTCAGCACAATTTTAGGATTCCTCATGTACATCGATTTACCAAAATTACCTTCCATGATGCTACACGATTTTTTATTCCTAAACTTATACATTCAAACTGAACATTTAAATATATTCGGGAAGAAGGAAGTTTATTTTGTTTTACCGGAAAATTCGATGACGATCTTAAGAGGTCTCCATTTTGTCAAACACTTTAGATAATAACGTGTAAGTGTGTCGAACTTTACAAAAAGGGTGTTGATAATTATTGAGTGTTAGTACTTTGTGGATTAAGATAAATTTTAGTAAAGAGAGTTACAGAGTAATATGAACCATTCTAAAATATCCGTCTCCAGATGTGAAAAACATGAATCTGGTGATTGAATGTTTCAAGGTATAAAATTATTATCATTATGTGCATTTTTTATTTAAAAGGAAGTAGAATCATCCTTACAAAATAAAACATTTGGTTGGATGAAAAAAAAGATCATATCGGAAAGGAAATGCTCAAAAGTGGAGACATCCGTATAAAATACTTGTTCACTGTACTATGAAACCTAACTATTTTTGTTTATTAATCAGAAGATATTACGAAGTGAATAAAAGAGTAAAACTGGCGTCCTATAGGCTTAGCAATGATAACTTACTATGACATATGACTTGTTTCAATAATAGGGCCTTTGTTGTTTATATTACCTTATCAATAGATACAGGGCTCCTAGCGGATGTGACCGATGCATGCTTATTCAACTAAAACACCTGATACCTCTGGGATTTCCAGTGGTTCATGCTTTTTGTCCTCTTCACAGATCTGTATTATATGAAGAATTTTTAAAAGATCAATCATTGTCCCTAATTATCTTCACCTTTTCATTAGGACTAAAAAGTATTAAAAACAGAACTCGAAATACCATTGAAGCAATACATATTGGGAGAAGAGGAAGGAAGGGCCTTTAAAACATTTAATTTAGAGACCGGTGGAGTCAGGTTCCTGGAAGAGTAAATATCCCCTGCCGACCGGTTACACTGGTCGCGTGCTCCATTTCATACACGGAGTGAGGCGGAGGGGAAAATCCGTAGATTATTCAGTGCGAAAAAATGGCCTAACAATTTATTAGTATGGAAGTATAATAAATTATATGGTATTAAAATAAATATTATAATATATAAAGGGCCAACATTTAGGGAACCCCGATCTTTTTAACTGGCGTCATTATTTCATAAATATTATGGATTCCATGAAATATTACGTCAGGCGGAGAGTCAAACATAAAAAAGAAGGCATTGTTAGAATGGATGAAATTTATCAGATGTTTGTTAAAATCTCACATTGAGCGATTTAGGGAAAGATGAAAACTAATAATTCAGAATTGAAAAGAGAATTTTGATAACCATATCTATCTTGAATTCTGAAATTTTATAAAAATCTTTACAAAGATACAAAGCGGACTCCAGTAAATGTTATACCAAGTCTCTTTCTTTACTCATAACAATAATATCAACAGTAGCGAAGGAGAAACTTTGGGAGTACAACATTGTGCAACAATAGATTCGAGAAGTGGTGTAAATCAGAAATGGATACCTTGAAATCACAAAATTTTACCAAAATCAACAACAAAAAGTTTTCAATTTCATATACAACCATTCCACACGATAAATTAAGGTAACTTTTTGACATCATTTAAATATGTTTTTTTTAATTACAAATGGAACTCGTAAATGTACTTACCTTGAATTTCCATGGTTACAAATTGCATCCCGTTATTAGTAGACCTTTTTTCATTCATGTTAAGCAGAATTTGTTCAAAAAGAAGAACACTTGTTGTTGCCTTCAACTCGATATTTAGATTTATCGACGATGTATTGTCAATTCACAATAGTTATTTCCATTCTTCTGTCGATATGATATATTCCGATGAGCTTGAAATAAGACTTATTACAGAGTCTGACAAATCTGTTTCATATTTGTGCATTTTACTATAAAACACCTGATGGTAATCGGACAACAAAGCTTTCTGATAAACATGATGATTTAAAATTTTCAATCGTCAACTTTCCTTACTTACATATGTATGCAGCAATGTGCATTTATCACCTGCATACATTATATCTCCCAAATGATTCGATACGCAAGAGCATGTTCTGCGTACGAAAAATGTCTTAACACGAGGTAAGTTTTCGACAAATAAGTTGATGAAACAGGAATATCAGCAGTCTCCTTTACAGTCATCATTTCGTATTGGTTCTTTGGTTGATATAATGTCTGCAAATATAAACAATCATAAAATTGCTTGTTAGCGTTTTTCATGCTAATTGTAATGCCATTATTAACATACTGAATTGTCAACGGATTTTTCCGTTATTTTCTGATCATGAAAAGGAGCACACGGCGTATGTGACCGATCGGCAGGGAATGCTCTCTCCTTCATGGCACCTAATCCCACATCTGATGTTTAAGAGATCCGATTTTGCTCTGCTTCAAAATTTGTATTGTTTAATGGCTTTTTGAGCTTGAATTCTGGTCCTTATCTCCATATATCTCATTAATTTCGAGAGAGAGAGAGAGAGAGAGAGAGAGAGAGAGAGAGAGAGAGAGAGAGAGAGAGAGAGAGAGAGAGAGAGAGAGAGAGAGATCAATACTTTATGACACCAAGAACTCAAATCAGATTTTGTCGATCTTTAGTCTTTTGTTTTAAGTACTCATTTCCCTAAAAAATAAAATTATTTAACATTTTCAAATGCGATTGAATAGACCTGTACATGTACTTTACGTTATCAAGAATGAACTTTGAGTTTACATTTTTTCCGTGTAGATTCGGAATAGACATCAATTTGACTTCAAGGTAAAAGCTTTATATTATTGAAACTTCACCATCGTTCAATTTTTTTTTCAATCAACAAATGCATTGAAACTCATCATCATAATGATAAAGGAATAATAATACTGTGTAATCTCAGGTCATAAACCTAGATAAAACCTCGTCGAGTGTTGTCCTATCGACATTTTCATAAACCGACAAGGACTGAAAACCATGCAGATAATGCCTACGTAAGTACACCTTTCTTTAACAACATAGTAGGATACATGTATGTTTTTCAGTTTCTGGACGAAGCTTAGTGAACGATACTTAGAACCTTTAGGGATACCGAAATTCAGGGGTTAAAATCACGGATAGATGTTCATTTTATGAAATTGTTTTGTGTCCGTCTAATACTGGGCAGGCATTATGGAATTTGAGTTTTCTCTCTCTATTAAAACATAATATATTAAAGTATTTGCAACACCTATTCCAAACGAATTCATTTTGTTTGATAACAACAAAAAGTTTATACAATAAAATTGTCGTTGATCTGTGACAGAGCAAAATACGTCATCATCGAAGAAGCCCCCCCCTCCCCCTCCCGTTCATTTTTTTAGTTTGTTTCAAAGCTACGCAAAAGATAGATTTGATATATGAAATATTTCCTCCTGAACTGAATTTTATTGATATGGTAACGATCATTTACTTGGTATCTGTATTTTTTAAAAATAGAGAATCGAGTAAATTAGGGAAATTATTCTGTATTTGCATATCACACCTAGTTGGTAGAAATCGCCTTTATAAAGATTAACTTTTGCGACCAACCTTGGACCAGACATTAATTTCAAGTAGCTTCATCTGTATGGAAAGGATGATAATTAATAGCCTGGGTTTGATACAAAAGAATACTCAGTACTTGAAAATGAAGTAAGAAACTCTTTACAAAGTTCCACTGGATACTCAGTTATGTATTAAGCTTTTTTTTAAAAAAATTCTTCTGCAAATGCGATTTAAACTGTTTTATAAAATTTTTTATCTAGTCTTGTTGAATTTATTGCAATAGAAACTATTTTATTTTCTGATTGGAATCAAATGCTGTAAAAATACATCATGGATCAAGTTTAGTGATAGTTTTTCTTTCTGTAAAAAAAACCTTGACCATAGCTTTAAAAGGGTTAGGATAGTGCTAAATTTACATATTGCCTTATCATTGCCTTTATCATTGCTAATAGTTGTTTTGCATTACTAATCATTTAATACATATAATAGATGTGATAAATAAATATATATAGAGCGAACAGTGTTCAAGCTCAAAAGTCCATTAAACATAATAAATTAGGAGCAGAGCAAATATTGACCTCCAAAACATCAGAGGTGTATTGTATGAGGTGCCTTACTTTGGAGGAGTTATTAAATTTGCATTTAATAAAAGTCTAATCTTCCGCCATGTGTTGTTGTCATGATTGGGAAATAACGGAAAAATTGTCGACAATTCAGTGTGCATATAATGGCCTGACAATATTATGAAAAATGTCAATCAGCATTTAACTTAATGATAAATTGAATTTGTGTTTTATTTTAGATAGATTTAAACTGAGTTTCTGTCTTCCATAGAAATTTTGCAGAGAAAATATCTTATTTTATGGCCAGCAATTCTAAAATTGTTCTACATTTCCGGTGTGACTTAACGTGTGCTGTTAACAATTACTAACTTTGGATAATAACGCAAATTCGTAGGATTAGGAGTAAGGGTTTTTTTAAAATCCAAAACACAATATATATATAATACATTTGATAATAAATACAGTTGTAAAAAATGCATTTAAAGCAATTCATAAAATAATATAAAACACCAACAACCCCCCCCCCTTCCAATACATCAGAGGTTTATCAGGTGCCATGGAGGAGTAGCCCTCCGGAAAATATATTGATAGACCGGTCACTACAGTGCCACCTATGTGAAAAAAACTGTATATTTGTCATGATCGTGAAATACAAAAAAGTGCTCAGTGTGTACATAATGGCCAAACAATTGTATGAAAAACGTCCTCAATTGCACATAAAAAATGTATTTGCTGACAAGGTAATTCCGGCCTTCTCGAAATGATATTAAACGAAACAGCTGAAATTCTTGTTTCATCAACTTGTTTGTCAATAATTTACATTTTACTACACGAAGCGCGTTGGGCCGAATTATCTTACAAACCAAAATGGCAGTATAAACTGGCGAAAGCTCGATGATCTCAGGGCCAGGAGGGCTTTAAACAACAAGTATAAGGTATGTTTTGTTGTGGAAGCAGTGAAAGATTGTGCTAGAAAAACAGGGTTAGTAATATTTTGAGATTATATTTTTAAAA